CGGTTCGTCCGCAAGGGGATTCCATCTGAGTTTCGTGGGGCGGCCTGGTTCTGGTATGCGGGGGGGTTCGATCTCCTCAACCGGAACCCGGGACTGTATGACCGACTCGTCAAGGAAGCCATGGATTCTCCCAACAACGACGATAAGGAGCACATCGAGCGCGATCTGCATCGGACATTCCCTGATAACCTTCACTTCAAACCCGAATTTGTCGACGAAGCTATGGGCTCGGGTACTAGCTCTGGCAGCAGCAACCCGAAGTACAGCTCGGTCACGGTTGAGACTCAGATGATCCAGTCACTCCGTCGCGTTCTCTATGCATTTTCCCTTCACAATCCCAAGGTGGGCTACACGCAATCGCTCAACTTTATCACCGGTATGCTCCTGCTTTTTCTTCCGGAAGAAAAAGCGTTCTGGATGCTGCATATCGTGACGTCTGTGTATCTGCCGGGCACCCATGAGATTAGCCTTGAAGGTGCCAACATCGACCTCTGGATCCTCATGGTCCTGCTGAAGGAATCATTACCCCATATTTACAACAAGATCGCTGGCAATCCTGGCCGGGCGAAGACTCCGGCCCTGACGGTGGACTCTCGGCTTCCGGATATCACGCTGGGACTGACCAACTGGCTGATGTCGTTGTTCATTGGCAGCTTGCCTTTGGAGACGACGTTGCGTGTTTGGGATGTGTTCTTCTTCGAAGGTTCAAAGACCTTTTTTCGTGTATCCCTCGCTATATTCAAGGCCTGCGAGAAGGACATTCTTGCCGTATCCGATCCCATGGAAGTCTTCCAAGTTGTGCAGACGGTGCCGAAGAAACTGCTCGACGCCAACGCATTGCTGGAAGATTGTTTCGTACGGCGACACCGTGTCGGACAAGGTCGCATAGAGGAGTTGAGAGCCTCCCGACGAACGGCTGTCCGACAGGAGAAACTGAGGCGTTCGCTGGCCATCAGCAAAGGTCAACTCCAGGCTGCCACGGACGAGTGGCCGACCACAAGGTCGCGGACGCCTATTCCTGGGCTTGAACGCAAAGTGGCGGATTCCTGGCGTCATATGAAGCAGCATGCCTTTAGATGATTGACAGGTGCGGTCTACAGACTGCAAGGTCAATCCTGGCCGGCGATCCACGAGCTCGACTATGATCGGACTCTATCTACACCATTAATGTTTTATCATGTACAGCGAGGACATATGAATTCCGTTATGTAGCTATTGCCTTCTGATACCCGTCTTGTCAATTCAGCCTCATCGTACCTCAGTACATAGAACCGTCCCCCTGAAGGCTGATTCCCATGCACCAGCTGGTGACGCAGTCCAGACCAGAGGAAATGCCACTTATCTCCCTTTACCACAGTCAAAACGCGAATCCATCCCAGATGTCTGTTACAGAGTAGGGGTACCTGAAAAATGCCTCCAGTTGCCCGGCAGTAGAGTGACACCGGTCAGTACGATGAACCGCTTACATGAATGCTTGCTTGCCATTTGCCATATAAATGAATCACTCTTAGAACTCACACAGCTGATGTCGATCAATTTCGTTCCCCCTATTGGTAGGTCGAATTGCCCAATGCCCCTGGAATGATTGGATACCATCTCATCGGGCCCGCTTTCCTCTATCTTAGTCCTAGTACCACTCTAAGCCTTAAAGCATACCTTAAAGTAGGCCTAACCTGGGCCGATCGGCGATCCTCTTCATGAAGAATGCCTTACCCCACCAAATACATGCCCCCAGCCCCAGCGACTAGCCCGTAGATCCAAGAAACAGCAAAAGGTACACCGTACAGATGAGATCAGATTGACAAGGATAAGAATAGACTGCAATGCAGGGCTGATACTGGCACCAAAAGTCTGGAAGTCCTTGCCAGCAATGAGGTGGTTTCCTACGTGTAGTGGCTGGCCTGGGCGCCTGAATTGGGTTTGCCAACATCTCTGTGCGGTAAACAATGAGGCTCATTGGTCTCTCGATGGGAGTGTTTGCATCGTACAACGCAGGTCTGTACTACCCCGACTGTGCTCACTGTGAGGGGTGTTTGTTGGGTGGTATTCCCACGCGGGGGGGGCGGTGGCTGGATTGCCTTTTCTTCAGGGAATATGATATGGGGAGGCGCGGGGGGCGCTGGATGTTGCTACCTGCTGCTCTAAATTAATTTGGTCGATTGCGTGACCAGCATGGATTCAAGCCAGCTGAGGTACTGTCAACCCTCCGAGACATGCTTTTGGCTTTTCACCTCCTTGCATAGATATACTGTTGCATTCCTCCAGGATCAGCACAGCCATTGGCTAAGGTATATTTCATCTCAGCCAGCTGTAACAATGGTGATTGGTTTCCAGTGGAAGATGTGTGCGGCTGGATTGGTGATTGTACTACCTTACTTCAGCCCCAGTCTTAAGAGGGAGTACGGTACATACAGGACCTAAGTTGCCAACGTGTCTCGGACAGTGAGGTAACCATGATCAGGCCACTTTTATTTCTATTTGTTAATTTCTATTGGTTCTTGGTCTAGACGGCAACCGCAGCCATGAGAACTTCCAATGCCGCATTTTTGCGGCTGATACATTGGGTCATGTAGTCTCGATCGGTGACGGACAAGCCTCTCGACATTGGCTCGTTGGCGCTGGAGTTGTGTGTGGCAGCGTCGCATTGCGCGCTTTCGTCCAGAAAGTCTACGGATCCATTCACAAGGTTTTGTAATGCGTCGAGGGCTTGCCTCCCCTTGGAGAGGGTCATCTTGACAAGAACATTCCGGATAGCCTGACCCTCTTCCCTGGTGACTTTGTAGTCCCCCAGAGAACAGGGGATCAGGCGCTGCTCTTCGTCCGGAGGCGACAGGCGCCGGTTGCTCATGGTCAGTTGCTCGAATAACGTGAAGATCAGCTCGATCGCGGAAAGTGTGAGGAGGATTGATGACATGGACTTGTCGCAGGCATCACAGACGATGAATTTCTCGCACGTCTCAAGGGTTGATGTGATTGACTTCATCGCCAAGTCGAATCGATCGGACTTGTCACGACATGTAAGCTGATGTAGTGTGGATACGTTGACCGCTTGTGTTTGGACGCAGGCGCACGGATCCCCCGTCACATCTAGACGTGCATGAGGGGATGGGAACCCAAAGGATATCGGTGTGGTGGGGTCACTGAGTTGCCGCAAGTAGGTCTCGCCTGTGAACGAGATGGGCGTCGTAAAAGCTTCAAGGCTCTCTGATGTGCCTTCTCTGGGAGTCTGTAGAATTGGGCCTAGGTCCATTGTCCACGTGTCCAACTCATGCGGTGTTGGAAGGCAGTCGTTCTCATGTTCGGTAGACTTGATGCACTGGTTGGCCGGTGTGGGCTGGACAGAAGATTGGAGAGGAATATGGCCCTGCTATCATTAGAGACAGTACATAATCGCGTGGTAGACGCAAGCGACTCACCTGTTTCCAGCGGCTGGATGGGAAATATGGACTTGGTAGTAGTGTCGTCGAATCTGAGAGATCGATGTTCAGATTCCCCAGCTCTCCGTTGGCATCCCGCAATTGACTTGTCAGCCATTCCATCCGTAGCTGATGCTCCCTCTCCAATGTCTTCCGGTTTTTGCTCCCTTTGGGCTTTCCTGCTCGGTTTTGATAACCGTAGCGACAATTCAAGCCCTTTGACGTGCAACGGAAACATGGAGACCCCCCGGAGCACTTGACCTTGCACTGATGGCAAGAATCACAGGCAGAGCGCAGCTTTTTGTGATCGGAATTGCTCTGCTGGGTTGTCGTAGGACTGGTCAAGTAAGGAAGTGTAGATGTCATAATGGCGCCAAGAAATCTCAACCAAGGCGGTTCTTATCCGGCAAAGATGCTTAGCATCTTCAAGAGACGAGAAAACGCTACCGGAAGGGGGTTCAAATAGGAGAGGCGGCGCGATGGGGCCAAAAAAGGCCACACTGCAGAACTCAGAAACACGATGCTCTTACGATGGTCCCATTGCCCGAGTCGCTGACAGACGGCGGAGTCCAATAGCGAACTAACAATCATGCTGACAATTCGTTGGCGTCCAATCGCTACGACCAGCCTGGCAAACTGGCAGCCTGGTACGCGAGTGCTAAAAATGACAGGGGATGACTGTGAAGGAAGGGGAGGCTATTAATTTCCAAGTGCATGGCCATGATGACAGACACTAGGAATTTGGTCAGCTCCCGCTTACAGACGCTCATTGATCGAAATAGAGTGGTTGAGTGACTTACCACTTCTGGTGAATGGGAGGGTATGATGGATAAGATGGATAAGATGGCGCGGTCGCTTCGTATTTTAGTGAGAAATAAGCGTGCAGCCAGGAGGGTTAGCCCAGCCAGAAGAATCTATTTCTGACGAAGATGGAATGTTGGGTAAGAGAGACGAAGTAGCTAAGGGAAACAGCCGATGGTCAGCTCATCTCGTAAAAAGGTCTGGAATCGCCACGGGGTTGAAGGATGTGAAGGCGTGCTTGTACGGGTTTGGAAGCCTTGGGAGGCTTGGAGTTACGGGGCTTGGCTACTTGGCCGCCCAGCCTAGAAGGTAGTAGGCAGTAGGCAGTAGGCCCAGTCCAGTAGACTAGCCCCTAAGGTACCTTACACTATATACGCCTCGGCCGAGCTCAGGCGTGCAGATCCTCGGCCGAACTTAGCGGACTGCTTTAGCTCGGCCGAAGTTCGAACTAACGAACGGATGCGGATCTTCCTTAACTTTGTTTTGTCTGCTTACTATGGCACCATTATGCCCTTTCCTTCACTGTTCATCATTGTTATTACTATTATTATTATTATTATTATCATTCCGCACGAATCCTCCGCCCCCCCCCGTTGCTTTCAGGCCGAACTTCTGTATATTCTCCCCTTCCCCCGAGACCGAGCTGATTCCGCCATAGCCTCCTTAAAAAGACCTCCACACCATGGATTGCTGTCTCCCTCATCATGCATGCAACCTACTCTCGTGTTTCTCCAACCTTGATCCTCTACGGTAATTGCTTCTCAACGCAAATACTAGCACACAATGTCAGAAGAAGTGCCTAAGCACGAAGCTCCCTCGGCGATCAGCCCAATAGAAAGCGAGGAGAAAGGCCTGGCCCCCAAACCTCTCGAGCGCGTGCCGCCCAATGGTGGTGCCAAGGCATGGGCTTGCGTTGCTGGCTCGTTTTTGCTACAGTTCTGCTCATTCGGTTACGTCAACGCGTATGTATCTATTCTCTTCTATTCTCGCTTCGTTTCGGTTCTCCGTACATTTGAGAACAACGAACTGATCCTTGGAGAATAGGTGCGGAATCTTCCAGTTGTACTACCAGGAGACCATGTTCAAGGACCAAACCTCGTCAGCCTTGGCGTGGATTACCACCCTACAGATCTTCCTGCTTTTCATGTTCGGTCCCGCTGTCGGCAAACTGATTGATGTCTATGGATGTCGCAGGACGCTCCCGCCATTCAGCATCGCGGCTGTGTTTTCCGTGTGCATGCTGAGCTTGTGCACCAAGTACTGGCAGGTCATGCTGGCACAGGGAGTCGCCTTCGGTCTGGCTGCCGCTGGGCTATCTCTTCCCGCCATGGCAACGGCGACGCAGTGGTTTTCGACTAAGAAAGGGTTGGCAGTCGGCATTGTGTCCGCAGGCAGCAGTCTAGGTGAGAATACGAACCTCTTCAACCAAACTCATAGATGGCTAATGACGGACACAGGTGGAGTGATTTACCCATGTATGCTCCCTCGACTGATTGAACAGGTCGGCTTCGCGTCGGCTGTCCGTTGGACTGCCCTCATGCAAGGCATCCTTTTGTTTATTGCCAACCTTCTCTGCTCGTCCCCTTACCCGCCGCTTGGTAGAGCAAGTAAAGGAACCTCCACAGAGAAGGATGCTACAGATGCTCCTCCCCGCAGCAGTGGTCTTCGCGGATTCAAGAGTTTGCCCTGGGGTTTCTTCGTTTTGGGTTGTTTCTTCACCATGTGGGGCCTTTTTGCGCCCCTGAATTACCTCCCGGAGATGGCTGCGCTTCATGGATATCAAGACTTTGCTCAGTACACCTTGGCGATTGCCAATGCAGGATCTCTGGTTGGCCGGATTGTGCCTGGCTGGGTAAGTGACATCATCGGACAGTTCAACACCATGTGCATCGTGACCAGTCTATCCGGAGTCTTGGTGTTGGCCTTCTGGCTGCCACTGGAGTTTCATACATCTCTGGCCGGTATTATTGTGTTTGCCTTGCTGTTTGGTTTTGTCAGCGGCGGCTTCGTGAGTCTCGGGCCCCCTTGTGTCGTTTCTCTTGCGGAAGACCGTGTGGATGAGATCGGAGTGAAGCTCGGCGGCTTCTGTTTGGCCATTGCGCTGGGAGCATTGACCGGCCTTCCAATCGAAGGAGCGATCAAAGACCGCGAAGGCAACAAGTTCACGGGGTTGATGTGCTTTGCAGGAGCAACGATGATTCTCGGGGGAGTATGCACGGCGACCGCTCGGGTGTTCAAGGGCGGACCGCGACTCATGAAGAAAGTTTGATGGAAGGACCTGACAAGTATTGATCAAAAGGGTTGCAATGTTACTCCTTGTAAATGTTAGATTAGATAATACCTTAATCGAACGAACCACTCTCTGAGCCGACTTCTATCTTGTAGGAACTACAATAGCTAAACCAACCCGGCTCCTATTCTCCAGCGACCTCGGAACATTAGCCTCCCTGCTACGGAAGGCGAAGCCGCATTAATAGAATATGCTATGTTATTATAATATACACAGCTTATAAGGGGCGGCCCCCCTATGTAATCTACAGCGGTATACTTGTTGTATATATAGCTTGAATTTATAGTCTAGATACTTTGGATTATTAGTGATTAAAATATTTCAAGTTTGGACAATGCTATTTCATATGGAATACAAGCTGTGCGATTCGGCTAGGTTGCGCAATTTACACGAGAATTGATTACTGTAGATAGCACGCTGAGGTCACAGACAACTGCTGAGGATTTAGCTCTCTCTTTTGGTATTCAGGCTGTCTACAGACAGACATAACTACACTTTCCATCTTCATAAGATCAGGATTCATGACAAATTCTAAGAGACCCCCGTTATCCAGCCTACATCAACTCCGACTCCCATTCCAATCCTCCTGCACCATTGCCATTGCCATTAGCACGTGGTGACCCTGTGCATGCACCCACTGGGCGCAGTTCGATGATCTGAGTGAGACATCCACGAGGGGAGACCACCCGGTTCAGCCGCCATCCAGCCTCCTCCGCCAGCTTTCGGTACTCCTCCAGCGTCCGCTCCTTGTTTCTGCACCTCGCCAGCATACGGATATCAGCGTACCGGGCTCCGCGTCCCAGACGCCCGTCAAACAAGACCGACTCAACAATCAAAACGCGGCTTACTCCCGGCTTGATGACCATGGTCTCGCGGATCCGGCGAAGCAGCTTGATACAGTCCTCGTCGCCCCAGTTATGCAAGATCCACCGGAGAAGGTAGACAGAAGATTCGGGAATCGGATCTTGGAAGAAGTCTCCTCCAGTGATTGAGACAATTCTACTGGTCAGAGGGTCATCGGTGGGGAATCGCTGCTTGAGGATCTCTGCGGTCGAAGGAAGCTCGAATGCAGCGGCTGTCGCGTCGGGGAACTTCTCCAGGTATGACCGGATAAAGTCTCCTACTCCGGCACCGACGTCGACCACGGTCTCTGACTTGACTTCGTCCCATGGGTAGTCGGCAAGCAGCCCAGGAGCCTCAACGACGCTACCCGTACCGGTGACTTTGTGGAAGCCAGCAGCTCTGCCCGTTTCGGCCAGATACTGGTAGATGGGCTTATCGGTGTTGTAGAAAAGCTCGGTGGCAGTTTTCGGCTGATCACTCCGCAACTGGTCAGGGAGATGCGAGAGGAGGTCATAGTACTCGCGAGGGAAAAAGTCAACCCAGTTGATCCAGGTGGCCCAGTGGTCTTTGCGCAGGAGGTTGGAGAGCCGGTTGTTGGACAGCAGGCCGGTCTTGGGGTCCTGCGAGAAGTACCCCATCTCGCGAAGGTAGCGAACTATTTGGAATAGGCCTTGTTCATGCAATCCGGTGGCTTCGGCTAGCTGCGAAATGCTGCAAGGCTGGAGCTTCTGGACGTGATCGGCCAGTGCATATTCGGATGCGCACAGCAGGACCTTGCTGTTCGTAAAGGCTGATTTCTGATTAGTCCCCTTTTCGCTATGCAAAGTGTATGGGTCTTGAAAAGCTTACCAAAAACCCCATCTACCAACGTCATATGAGGCGGAGTCAAGGTGACGAGAAGCTTGTCCAAGGCCTGCACGGTGTCTAAGATCTTCTGGTAAACTGAACTCGAGGACTTCAGCGACCCTGGAGACACTTCAAGACAGGAATCGAGCTCCTGCGCCAAAGGACCTTCAAGCTGCGACAATGCATGCTTGATGTTCCAGTTCAAATGCTCAAGTTCGTTTTCCATTCTGAGTCTTTGCTGATCAAGTACAACGTTTCTCGGTGAAGTTTGATCCGTCAGTAACGCGATAGCATTTATTTTCTCGACTGGAACCTATCGATGGAAGTAGTGTTTATGATACCCTTAATTATCAAGTCAGCTTACGCCTGGCATTGCTCGGTGGATATTCCATACGAGCCGACGTATACCCCCCGGGCCCCCCGAGGCCGTTCGGGGCGGCGTCCGGCACCGTCTCACTCAGCTCGAAGGCGCCAGCATTAAGCGGCGTTAGGCTTCATCCCAGAAATGGGTCTTTCGAAGCCGTACAATTGAACATACTTGTTGCACGGCCGCTAGAATGGTCCTCACTATCACAACTACCAACATCACCATACAGCCGTCTTCAACAATGGCCAACAGAGCTCGTACCCTCCTAGACCACTTCTACACTCAACTGCACAAGCACCCTTCATCAATCGCAATTGAGGATGGAACACAGTCCGCAGACCAGGGCACCTGGGAAAGGGTCACGTATGCTCAACTCAATGCTCTGTCCGACATATGGAGCAAACGTCTTCGCCTGGCCGGCGTAGGTGCAGGCTGTATAGTTCCCCTTCTATCGAAGCGATCAATCGCAATGGTAGCAGCGACGCTGGCTATCATGAAACTCCGAGCCGCATATGTGCCCATTGACATAGACTCGTGGGGAAGGGATCGAATAGACACTGTTCTCAAAACCATCAACCCGCAAGTCATCGTATCAACATCGCCGTGTCCGAAGGATTCCTACATGTACCCAGTTGTGGCATTGGAGCGGAACGACTTCGATGAGGTCGAAACGCCTAACGGGACCTATTGTACACAAAAATATGAAAATGCAATTGATAGAGGAGACGACCTGGCGTATATTATCTTCACATCCGGTACCACAGGGAAACCGAAAGGAGTGCAGATAGGCCAGAGGTCAATTTCTCGTTATGTGAAAGAAGGAGGCGATTTGCCGTTCAATTTCAACACCGAACATGGCACAAGAGTGTTGCTCATCTGTTCAATTGCTTTTGACGGTTAGTATGCTTGATTTCCCATATGTGAGCGTCCTACTAATTCACAGCTTCCAGTCTGCGCTGGAGTCATGTTCAACACCCTCTGCAACGGGGGAACCCTGGTTCTGGCCGATCCTTCTACCTTCGAAGCCGCGGCCAAAACATGCCATGTTTTGCCATTGACTCCAAGCATCCTTGTTACACTGGACCCTAAGGCGGGCTTCGATACAGTGGAAAAGATCTTCCTCGGTGGTGAGAGCCCAAGCCCGTCCTTGATAGAGGCATGGTCCTCTCCCCGCCGACGACTTTACAACGCGTACGGGCCTACTGAGACGACATGTACAGCGTTTATGGGAGAACTCCTGCCTGGGTCTCCGATTACTATCGGCTACCCAATATCATATAGTACTGTTATATTACTTGATGAGGATGGTTTCGAATCCGTCGAAGGGGAAATCTGCATCTCTGGCCTAGGCCTCGCATTGGGATATTTCCATGATCCAGAACGCACAAACAGCGCTTTTGTCGAATGGAATGGGGTCAAGATTTATAAAACAGGTGACTATGGCAAGCGGACCAAGCATGGTCTACAGTTTTGCGGTCGCAGGGACAGTGTGGTCAAGAACAGGGGCTTCTTGATCAACCTCGAAGCAGATGTCGAGCCTGCTCTACAGTCCTATGACAAAGTTGACAGCGCATCGGCCTTCATGTCCCAGGGTCAGCTCATTGCTTTTGTCACACCTACATCTGCCAAAGAGGGACTTCGCGAATATCTTACGAACACGGTATCCTCGTTCCTAGTCCCTGATACAATATATTCGCTAGACGAGTTCCCCACAACAGGCAACGGGAAAGTCGACCGAAAGAGTCTAATGCGCATGCATGAGCTGGAGCAAGGATCAGAAACGGCCAGTCTCGAGAGAGGCCTTAGTGCGGTGGACGCCGTTCGTAGAGGGTTATCTCATGTCCTTCGACTGCCAGAATCGCAAATACCTCAGGCTTCGTCTTTCCGTCATCTCGGGGGCCATTCGCTAGCAGCAGTCATGTTAGTTTCGGTGCTGAGGAGAATGGGGTATGCTATCAGTGTCGCCGACGTGCTTTTGTTGGATACAGTCGTAAATATAGCTGCCGCTGCCACGGAGTTGAACGATGTCCCAGCTGCATTTGCTACCCGAGGAGATTTGATAGAACGACTAAGGCACGACATATCGACGACCCGGCCACTTGACGAAGGTGCGACGATCGCACCTATGACCGACATGCAAACCAGAATGCTCGGTGCTAGTGTTGCCACTCCAGGTCTTTCATTTATCAAGACAGCCTTTACTTTTGATCATCCAGAGAAAGAACACCTTATATCTACTCTCCATGCTGCTTGGGTTCGTCTTCATCAACGCCACGAGATCCTGAGGACTGCATTTGTCTTGACCGCGTCGAATGGAGCCCAAGTAATATCCCAGGACCCTTGCTTTTCGTGGGAGCAGAAATTCGTCGCAGAATCTGAGTGGGAATTAGTTTGTCGACGAGAAGAGCATCTGGATGTGGCCGATTTCGCAGACTTTGACGCAGAGGACCGGACGTCATTATCAAGAGTAGTCCTAATTGTCGCTCCCAGGAGGCGAACCCGGTTTATCTGGACGGTCCATCACAGCTTGGTTGACGGATGGTCGATGGCAACACTGATGCGAGATTTCGCCTCTTGTCTCGAAGATAAACCCATCCCGGCACCACCACAATTCGCTCAAGTCGCGCAAGCAATAGGTCGGCTGAAGGCTGAGTCCTCGGATGCAGCCGTTGCATTCTGGAGAGAATACTTAGGCGGATATACTCCTGCTCAGAGACTCCGAGTATCACCACCCTCTGATGTCAGCGACTATACGCAAGCAGCCTTATCTCGGAGACTCGCTGTCAGCGTATCTGCACTGGAGGCTGCCGCCAGGGATCGATTTGCAGTTACACCGGCCACACTCCTTTACGCTGCTTGGGGGCTTCTCATTTCCAGGTACTCCGGCACAGACCGCGCAGTGCTCGGAGCTGTTCTCTCTGGA